ACAATACAGCAGGTACCACTGTAACAAGGACAATACAGAAGGTACCACTGTAACAAGGACAATACAGAAGGTACCACTGTAACAAGAACAATACTGCAGGTACCACTGTAACAAGGACAATACAGAAGGTACACTGTAACAAGTACCACTGTAACAAGGACAATACAGAAGGTACCACTGTAACAAGGACAATACAGAAGGTACCACTGTAACAAGGACAATACAGAAGGTACCACTGTAACAAGAACAATACAGAAGGTACCACTGTAACAAGGACAATACAGAAGGTACCACTGTAACAAGGACAATACAGAAGGTACCACTGTAACAAGGACAATACAGAAGGTACCACTGTAACAAGGACAATACAGAAGGTACCACTGTAACAAGGACAATACAGAAGGTACCACTGTAACAAGGACAATACAGCAGGTACCACTGTAACAAGGACAATACAGCAGTAACAAGGACACATGTAACAGAAGGTACCACGGGGATAATACAGCAGGTACTCACTGTAACAAGGATTAATACAGAAGGTACCACTGTAATAAGGACAATACAGAAGGTACACTATAACAAGGACAATACAGAAGGTACCACTGTAAGAAGGACAATGCAGCAGGGTACCACTGTAACAAGGACAATGCAGCAGGTACCACTGTAACAAGAACAATACAGAAGTTACCACTGTAACAAGAACAATACAGCAGGTACCACTGTAACAAGAACAATACTGCAGGTACCACTGTAACAAGGACAATACAGAATGTACCACTGTAACAAGGACAATACAGAATGTACCACTGTAACAAGGACAATACAGAATGTACCACTGTAACAAGGACAATACAGAATGTACCACTGTAACAAGAACAATACAGCAGGAATCACTGTAACAAGAACAATACAGCAGGTACCACTGTAACAAGAACAATACAGCAGGAATCACTGTAACAAGAACAATACAGAAGGTACCACTGTAACAAGAACAATACAGCAGGAATCACTGTAACAAGAACAATACAGCAGGAACCACTGTAACAAGAACAATACAGAAGGTACCACTGTAACAAGAACAATACAGAAGGTAACACTGTAACAAGAACAATACAGAAGGTACCACTGTAACAAGGACAATACAGCAGGAACCACTGTAACAAGAACAATACAGAAGGTACCACTGTAACAAGAACAATACAGAAGGTAACACTGTAACAAGAACAATACAGCAGGTACCACTGTAACAAGAACAATACAGAAGGTAACACTGTAACAAGAACAATACAGAAGGTACCACTGTAACAAGAACAATACAGCAGGTACCACTGTAACAAGGACAATACAGAAGGTACCACTGTAAGAAGGACAATGCAGCAGGGTACCACTGTAACAAGAACAATACAGCAGGTACCACTGTAATAAGGACAATACAGCAGGAACCACTGTAACAAGAACAATACAGAAGGTACCACTGTAACAAGAACAATACAGAAGGTAACACTGTAACAAGAACAATACAGCAGGTACCACTGTAACAAGAACAGTACAGCAAGTACCACTGTAATAAGGACAATACAGAAGGTACCACTGTAACAAGAACAATACAGCAGGTACCACTGTAACAAGGACAATACAGAAGGTACCACTGTAAGAAGGACAATGCAGCAGGGTACCACTGTAAGAACGATAGTTGTTAAGGTACTGCTGTAACAAGAACAATAAGAGAAGGCAACCCACTGTAACAAGGACATTAGAAGGTACCACTGTAACAAGAACAATACAGAAGGTACCACTGTAATAAGAAATAAATACAGAAGGCACCACTGTAACAAGAACAATACAGATGGTACCACTGTAACAAGAACAATACAGAAGGTACCACTGTAACAAGAACGATGAGCAGAAGGTACTGCTGTAATAAGAATAATACAGAAGGTACTACCTGTAACAAGGACAATACAGAAGGTACTACTGTAATAAAGAATAATACAGAAGGTACCACTGTAATAAGAATAATACAGAAGGTACCACTTCGTAATAAGAATAATACAGATGGGTACCACTGGTAACAAGAACAATACAGAAGGTACACTGCTGTAACAAGAACAATACAGAAGGTACCACTGTAACAAGGACAATACAGAAGGTACCACTCGTAATACAGCAGGTACTGTAACAAGAACGATACAGAAGGTACTACAACAAGAACAATACAGAAGGTACCAATGTAACAAGGACAATACAGAAGGTACCACTGTAATAAGAACAATACAGCAGGTACCACTGTAACAAGAACGATACAGAAGGTACCACTGTAACAAGAACGATACAGAAGGTACCGCTGTAACAAGAACAATACAGAAGGTACCACTGTAACAAGAACAATACAGATGGTACCACTGTAACAAGAACAATACAGAAGGTACCGCTGTAACAAGAACAATACAGAAGGTACCACTGTAACAAGGACAATACAGAAGGTACCACTGTAACAACAACAATACAGCAGGTACCACTGTAACAAGAACGATACAGAAGGTACCACTGTAACAAGAACGATACAGAAGGTACCGCTGTAACAAGGACAATACAGAAGGTACCACTGTAACAAGAACAATACAGAAGGTACCACTGTAACAAGAACAATACAGAAGGTACCGCTGTAACAAGAACGATACAGAAGGTACCACTGTAACAAGAACAATACAGAAGGTACCGCTGTAACAAGAACAATACAGAAGGTACCACTGTAACAAGAACAATACAGAAGGTACCACTGTAACAAGAACGATACAGAAGGCACCACTGTAATGGGCACACACAGAAGGTACCACTGCAATAAGAACAATACAGAAGGTACCACTGTAACAAGAACAATACAGAAGGTACCACTGTAACAAGAACAATACAGAAGGTACCACTGTAACAAGAACAATACAGAAGGTACCACTGTAACAAGAACGATACAGAAAGTACCGCTGTAACAAGAACGATACAGATGGTACCACTGTAACAAGAACAATACAGCAGGTACCACTGTAACAAGAACAATACAGAAGGTACCGCTGTAACAAGAACAATACAGAAGGTACCACTGTAACAAGAACGATACAGAAGGTACCACTGTAACAAGAACAATACAGAAGGTACCGCTGTAACAAGAACAATACAGAAGGTACCACTGTAACAAGAACGATACAGAAGGTACCACTGTAACAAGAACAATACAGAAGGTACCGCTGTAACAAGAACAATACAGAAGGTACCACTGTAACAAGAACAATACAGAAGGTACCACTGTAACAAGAACAATACAGAAGGTACCGCTGTAACAAGAACAATACAGAAGGTACCACTGTAACAAGAACGATACAGAAGGTACCGCTGTAACAAGAACAATACAGAAGGTACCACTGTAACAAGAACGATACAGAAGGTACCACTGTAACAAGAACAATACAGAAGGTACCACTGTAACAAGAACGATACAGAAGGTACCGCTGTAACAAGAACGATACAGAAGGTACCACTGTAACAAGAACGATACAGAAGGTACCGCTGTAACAAGGACAATACAGAAGGTACCACTATAACAAGGACAATACAGAAGGTACCACTGTAACAAGAACAATACAGAAGGTACCACTGTAACAAGGACAATACAGAAGGTACCACTGTAACAAGGACAATACATAAGTTACCACTGTAACAAGTACAATATAGCAGGTACCACTGTAACAAGGACAATATAGCAGGTACCTCTGTAACAAGGACAATACAGCAGGTACCACTGTAACAAGGACAATACAGCAGGTACCACTATAACAAGGACAGTACAGCAAGTACCACTGTAACAAATAAAATAAAATCATCAAGGTACCATTGTAATGATTATATATTATATTTATATTCTAAAAAAGTTCCATTAGACTAAATAAAATAAAAAACATTTTATAAAGTTCCACCAAAATTAAATAGAAAAAGAAAGAAATAATAAAGGTCCATTTCGTCAACAGTAATTAAAAAAAGGTCAATTTCTTCCACAGTAATTAAAAAAAGTTCCAATTCTTCCACAGTAATTAAAAAAAGGTCCATTTCGTCAACAGTAATTAAAAAAAGGTCCATTTCGTCCACAGTTATTAAAAAAGTTCCATTTCTTCCACAGTAATTAAAAAAAGGTCCATTTCTTCCACAGTTATTAAAAAAAGTTCCATTTCTTCCACAGTTATTAAAAAAGTTCCATTTCTTCCAGTTATTAAAAAAGGTCCATTTCTTCCACAGTAATTAAAAAAAAAGGTCCATTGAGTTAAGCAACAAATACCATTATAACTAAGGCTAAGAAATTGGAGCTTTTAAAACGTGTGATATAGTAGTTAATGTTAGTTAGGGCGGCCACTTAACTACCTTGGTTGGTAATTAGCTGTCGTAGATATTTTAACTCTTATCTAAATTATGGCGCCACGTCCAGGATATTGGTTAGGTTAGATTAGGTCAGGTCAGGTCAGGTCAGGTCAGGTCAGATCAGGTCAGGTCAGGTTAGGGCATTACAATACTCGCACTATAACACCTGAGGTTATAGGGCCAATAACTATATACAAATTAATGTTCCTGTATCATGTAACTAAACTTATACCTTATATCCGGTTACAGTTTCTTCATTCACATCAACTCAAATAATGTGATTAATGTTATCCTCACTACAGCCAAGTTACTGTACCTGTATTTTCAACCTAAGAGACAAGAATTAATACTTTACATCAATATTTATCTACTTTTCACTTATATGTACACTTAACAATGCTCTTTACGATGGTACAGTGATCACATGAAATACACTGTATCTGTAATCTGTATCTAAACATCTGTATTTTACCCCTACACCTGTGCTTTACACCTGTACTTTGTTGTTACACCTGTAATTAACATCTGTACTTGACTCTTACACCTGTTTCAACAATGGAATCCCTAAATAAAATATTAAATAAGTGTGTACTTACGTGAAGTCGACGATCTGTGCGGGAGGGAGGGAGTGAGAGAACGAGGGAGAGAGAGCAGAAGGACCACATCCGCTCTCACTGCAGGATGTTAGGACACTGAGGCTGCTCTCTACCTCCCCACCGCCTCTCGCACCCACCCACCCACCCACCCACCCATGCAGAGAGAGAGAGAGAGAGAGAGAGAGAGAGAGAGACTTGTACCGAGACACTAAAATGTTTGCTATCAGGAAAACCAATAATAATAATAATAATAATAATAATAATAATAATAATAATAATAATAATAATAATAATAATAATAATAATAATAATAATAATAATAATAATAATAATAATAATAATAATAATAATAATAATAATAATAAAATAATAATAATAATAATAATAATAATAATAATAATAATAATAATAATAATAATAATCCCAGTAAACAAAACACTCTCTTCTTACTAAGTGGCTATATATGCAAGTGTGTGTGTGTGTGTGTGTGTGTGTGTGTGTGTGTGTGTGTGTGTATATGTGTGTGTGTGTGTGTGTGTGTGTGTCCTCAACGAAGCCAATCAATGAACTATATACAGAACAAATTGTAATAATCTGCCATATTAGTTACTATTACCACGTGAAGGTTCTTGTACAAAGCTTAATGAAGAAGATTGATTTAAGGAACATGACGTATCGGTGGTGCCACTTCTCCGTGCAGTGCAGGTTTATGTGGCACCATCGCCTCGTTACGTCACAGGAGGGGCGCACTTCCACCCACCGTTAAGTGTTGTCATTACACTTAATGGTAAACTGGGGGACTTATTTCGGTTTTATAAGTATATGAAGGCTGGTGGAGTATATCGTGTCAAGGTCAGTCATTATGGTAATTTGGGTATTGATGATATAATGTGTTAGGGTGGGGAGTGACGACAGACAAACGCTCAAACAGAATACTGAGAGAGGTGTTGGTGGCGTGCTTACTTCAGCTATGGTTATTACCTTGAATATAACAACTTACTTAATTGAGTAAAGGAAAATTACGAATTGATTCAACTTTTCAGTAGTGAAAAAAATTCCACTTTATTGGTCGTATTTACGGATCCACTTACAGTATATTGACGTTGGTAGGTGCTGGTACCTTAGTATAACACACACACACACACACACACACACACACTACATCCTTGACCACCGAAGGGTCAAGACGTACCTGGCGCTCCTCTGGGAGCAGCCAGGTCAACTGTTAAGTTGGCCCATACCAACCCCCTCCCCTGAACCCTTCTCCCCACCGGAATATCAACAAGTTCTCGCCAGAAGTTACAATTTCATTTAGGAAAGGAACGGAACCAGTGTTAAACAGAGGTGAACAGTAGTGAACAGTGCTTAAGACAGTGAGAACAACTCAACAGTAACAGTCGTACCCAAGTTAACCTTCACACAGTGAGGTCCCAGGTACCCAGTGATAACGGCCAGTGAGACCCAAAAACAACCAGCGATGTGTTAATCCGTCTACGATAAGAAGGCCTAAGACCAAACCTCACTCATATAACACCATCTGTGAGGGAATTACTACACCACATGTCCCTCATAACACCATATGTGAGGGAATTACTACACCACGTGAGGTCCCTCATAACACCATCTGTGAGGGAATTACTACACCACGTCAAGCCCCTCATAACACCATCTGTGAGGGAATAACTACACCACGTGATGCCCCTCATAACACCATCTATGAGGGAGTTACTACACCACGTGATGCCCCTCATAACACCATCTGTGAGGGAATTACTACACCACGTGATAACCCTCATAACACCATCTGTGAGGGAGTTACTACACCACGTGAGGCCCCTCATAACACCATCTGTGAGGTAATTACTACACCACGTGAGGTCCCTCATAACACCATCTGTGAGGTAATTACTACACCACGTGAGGTCCCTCATAACACCATCTGTGAGGGAATTACCACACCACGTGAGGCCCCTCATAACACCATCTGCGAGGGAATTACTACACCACGCCAGGTCCCTCATAACACCATCTGAAGGAACTACTACACCACGTGAGTTCCTCCTAACACCAACTGGGAGGTAGTTACTACACTACGAGTTTGCTGGTCAACACCTACATTAATCTGTCTGTTCACTGTATGTTCCTTTACCTTTCTCTAATGAAGGCTTTTGTTAAACCACCAATGTATGTAATAAGTCATTTATGTCCAATGTATATTTTCAGCCTTCGGGCTGCAGAATTTTTTCAATAAACCGTTAATTATTATTAATATTATTATTATACACACAAAGTGAGGACTTTGTTTTTGAGTGGGCATTTGCCAGAATCTATCAGTCAATTGATCCACAGCAATTTGGCAATATGAGGACCTCCTCTACATCACACTGCTTAATGAGCTTTCTGGATTTTCTGCACAAAAACCCGCAGAAACGTAATACATCACTGGCCGTTGCCCTTGTTGACTTCAGGAAGGTCTTTGACCTTGTTGATCACTGCACTGTTATCAACAAGGCCATTGCACTAGGGCTACCCACCAACCTGGTCTCATGGCTCACTGATTTCTTGAGTGGACGCCGCCAGGCAGTGAGGTATCAGGGCTTGGTCTCCACATTCCAACACCTCACCTGCGGTGTTCCCCAGGGGACCAAGATGGGACCACTGTGCTTCCTCATCCTGATCAACGACGCTCTATTGGACACTCCTCACAGGTGGAAGTACGTGGATGACTGCACTGTGGGGGGTTTCAGTGGACAACACCACACCAGACTACTCATCACTACAAGGCACCCTGGACAGGCTACAGGCATGGACTACAGAGAACAAGGTCACCATCAACCACACCAAAACCGTAGTCATGCACATCAATACCGCCACCACTCCAGTGCAAGCCCCAGCAGTCACAGTGGGTGCCCATCCTCTCCAGCTGGTGCAGTCTGCCAAACTCCTGGGTGTTACTATAGACAACAAACTTGACTGGAAGGCCCATGTAAATAACACAGTCAAGGCAGCCTCGTACCGTCTCTACATGCTACGACGACTTAGGTCACTTGGGACACCCACGCCAGAGCTGAGGACTATCTACAACGCCTTAATTCTCCCTAAACTAACGTATGCGTCACCAGCCTGGTCGTCTTCCCTCAACTCCACCCAACAATGTCAGCTAGAGAAGGTACAGAAAAGGGCCTCCAGAATCATGCTCGGCGCTGACTACTCCGGCTACACCAACGCAATCTCCACCCTGGAAATGCCATCCCTCAGTGACCTCCACCACCAAGCACTGGAAGGGTTTGGCAGCCAACTATTGCACCACCCTCGTCATCGCCACCTTCTGCCACCGGCAGTCCCCCACCCACCTCGCCCAGTCCGCCACTACAACAAAATTCAGCCCATAAGAGCCCACACCGATAGATATAAGAATAGCACCATCCCATCTATTGTTAAAATAATAAACAACTCCTGATTTATGTACTGTACAGCCCTGTAAATGTATTGAACGCATATCATTATGTCTAAATCACATGTAAGTTTGTATATTTTCAGCCACCGGCTGCAACTCTATTAATAAATCGTTTATTATTATTATTATTATTATTATTATTATTACACACACACACACACTACTACTACTACTTTGCTGTCACTTGGAATCGAGGATGTCGATGTTTTAAGGTAACTAAAGAGACCAATACGGGACCGGCAGAGTTGTTCACAGATGTTGCACATGTGGGGGACTACGTCGAGTGCGGGAGGGGCGGCGGCAGCGTCTTTCAGGCGTTGGCGCTTGTCTGTCTCGGTTTGTAGTTGGGCTAACTCGAAAGTATTGACACCTTCTCGTGTGGTACTACTCCAAGCGTTACGATGTGGGGTAATCATTTCCCAGGTGAGGGGGTCGATTTGTCTTAAGATTATCCTTATACCTTTTCAGTTGCCCGCCGGCGTTACGTTTACTATTCGTTGGGTGACTGTAAAGTAGCTGCTTTGGCAGTCTACTGTCGTCCATGCGGGTAACATGGCCAGTCCGGCATATTTGTTCATGGATAATAGTAAGCCTCGATGCTCCTACAGTTGGTGTCAGCAAGAATACTGGCATTTGTTCTCTTGTCTTCCCAGCGAACTCGGAGGATGGAACGTAGACTACGTTTGCGCAAGTTTTCAAGTGCTTTGATGTGCCTCCTGTATGTAACCCATGTCTCGCTGCCATATAGCAGGGTGGGGAGGACCACTGCTCGATATACGTGTAACTTTGTAGATAATCTCAGCTCCCTACAGCAGAAGATACGGGTACGGAGTCTGCCATAGGCTTGAGATGTACATCTGATCCGATGCTGATGCCCGTATTATTAAACAACATCTTCCCTTGATGTGGGCCGTCGTGCTTCAACCCGAGTTTTAAACTAAATGGGTCATGGGAGACACCGCAGTACAGTACTTAATGGGGTGGTGTGGCGGTAAAATTAACTAATTCCAATAAAATTAATTTTAATAACACAAATTGGTTAATTTACTTACCACTTCATCGATGTCCACGGTGGTGGGCAGATGGGACCAGATACCGAAAGTGGATAACATTAGAGAGGGTAGGGCGGTTAGAAGGATGGATGGATGGATGGATGGATGGATGGATGGATGGATGGATGGATGGATGGATGGATGGATGGATGGTGGGGATGTGGCTGAACCAGGGGCAGGTTGAAAGAGAATCCAGATCTTACGTACATTCACTTCAAGGCCGAAGTGTGTATACGCATTTGCGTAGGTGTTCAGGATCTCCTGTAGGTCGCGTTCAGTGTGAGCAACGAAGTGAGAGTCATCTGTATTGAAGTTCACACACACACACACACACACCTTAATATCAATGCAACAGCTCACACGGGGCCAGGTTACTGACAGCAGGTTTAGTTTATACAGAAGGAGAGGTTCTATGATGGGTGATAATACACCTGTGCGAACTGGCCGACCAGTGTTGGTGACAGCGTGTCTTGAAGTGTGTTTTTTCCTCACCAATACGTGATGCCCAACAACTACCACACGTAAACTGGTGACTATAGGTGTGTGGGCATCAAATATCTCACTCTAAGTTTTTAACAGAAATTTGGATACTGAATATAACTTTGT